GGGGGGAGAGGGGCAGGGGACAGGGGACAGGAGACAGGAGACAGGAGAGAGAGGAAAAGAGAAGACAGAGAGAGAGAGGAGGAAAAGGAGAGAGACAGAGGGACAGTAGGACAAGGGAAGAGAGGGAGAGAGAGAGAGAGGAGGACAAGGGAAGAGAGAGAGGGAGAGGAGGACAAGGGGAGAGAGAGTGAGTAGGACAAGGGAAGAGAGAGAGGGAGAGGAGGACAAGGGGAGAGAGAGTGAGTAGGACAAGGGGAGAGAGAGAGAGAGTAGGACAAGGGAAGAGAGAGAGAGAGTAGGACAAGGGAAGAGAGAGTAGGACAAGGGAAGAGAGAGAGAGAGTAGGACGAGGGAAGAGAGAGAGAGAGTAGGACGAGGGAAGAGAGAGAGAGAGAGAGAGTAGGACGAGGGAAGAGGGAGAGAGGGAGAGGAGGACGAGGGGAGAGAGGGAGAGGAGGACGAGGGGAGAGAGGGAGAGGAGGACGAGGGGAGAGAGGGAGAGGGATGGAAAGGGGAAGAGGAGGAGAGGGAGGTAATGCTGTGGGAGAGAGGGGTTGTTCAGTGTGGTCATTAGAGTCGGATTTGGGGTCCTCGGCTAACTGACTGACTCCCATCCACTGGGCCTGGAGGCCCATTAAGACCTGTCTTTGTGGTGAGCAGGCTCAGGTTTGTTCTCCCAGCTCTGTATCATGCGACCTGAGAAAATATTTCTTTCATAGTCAGCGGCTGTTACTCTCTGGGCCTTGTCTTCAGAAAGGGGCTGCTTCTGAGTTCATCCATTGTTTTGTCCTTTCCTCTTCTGTGTGTGTTTATATATAGCAGAGAGTGGGAAAATGAAGTATTTAAATGGGATGTTCGAGATTATTGAAGCAGTTTCTTAATTCCTTGCTGTGTTTAAATTGATAGAAGGTTTGGTATCAGGATGGTACAGACTTTGAGATAATTGCTGTAAGACTTGAGAGTGTTGATAATAATTAACTTGAGTACAGCACATTGTGGAGATCTGGAACAGAAACCAGACACGTGGGAATTTTCAGAACGGGGCATTTGAGGTGTTCTTGTTTGCAGAGGTTTTGAACAAATGAGCAGGGGCTTAATGGGATGGGGATCGAGCAAAGGGAGAGAAGGGGGCAAGGAGAAACAGAATGGGCACAGCAGCCTCCTTTTGATGTGTGGGGTTTTTTGTTTGTTTTGGGGTGAGTTTCTAACTCCCTGAGTTATATTGGGGTAACGGGCCTGGGTAAGCGGGCATCCTGCAGAAGCAAGAGGCAGACATTCAGCCCCTGAAGTCATGGCCCCTCTTTGGGAATCTGAAGCACAAAGGAGCCTGGGAGTGCATGGTTCTCTCGAGATTGACGCGCGATTGGAAGCCAGGAAAATGCAACGTTAGCGTTTGTTTCGAGAGGGCTAGCATACAAGGGCTGAGATGTACTGCCAAAGCTGTGTAAGGCCCTGGTCAGAGTGCATTTGGAATACGGTGAGCTGTTTTGGGCCCCGTATCTAAGAAAAGATAGCGTTGGGGCCTGGGGTGGTCCACAGGAGGTTTACAAGAATAATCCCAGGGATTAAGGGCTTGTCATGTGAGGAGGGGTTGAGGACTCTGGGTCTGTACTCGATGGAGTTTAGAAGGATGCGGGGGGGGGGCGTTGCGGATTTGATCGAAACTTACAGAATACTGAGGGGCTTGGGATAGAGTGGATGTGGAGATGTTTCCACTCGCAGGAGAGACTAGGAGCCGAGGGCACAGCCTCAGGGTGAAGGGATGAACTGAGATGAGGAGGGATTTCTTCAGCCAGAGGGTGGTGAATCTGTGGAACTCATTGCCACAGAGGACTGTGGAGGCCAAGTCATTGAGTGTATTTAAGACAGAGATACAAAGTGATGAGGAAAGGGGAGCATGGGTTACAGGGAGAAGGCAGGGCAATGGGGTTAAGAAACATATCAGCCGTGATCGAATGGCGGAGCAGACTCAATGGGCCGAATGGCCTCATTCTTACGTCTGATCAAATGGCTAAACATACATCAGTCTCTATTTTAACAGTGCAGTTTCGACAAGGTCCCTTGTGGTAGGGATCAAGTGGTGGGAGGGTGTTTTCTTGGCAGGAGGTCCGTGACTAGTGACGTTCTGCAGGGATCTATACTAGGATCTCTGTTTATGATATATATATATAGATGTAAATGTAGATGCATGGGTTAGTAAGTTTGCAGACAATACAGACATTGGTGGAGTTGTGGATAGTGTAGAGGGTTGTCAAAGGATACAGCGGGATATAGATCAGTTGCAGATATGGGAAGAGAAATGGCAGATAGAGTTTAATCCAGGTCAGTGTGAGGTGCTGCACTTTGGGAGATCAAATGTTAAAGAAAAGCATACAGTTGATGGCAGGACCACGAACAGCACTGATATACAGAGGGATCTTGGGGTTCAAGTCCATAGCTCCCTGTGTATGGCCACACAAGTAGGTAGGGTGGTAAAGAAGGCGTACGGCGTGCTTGCCTTTATCGGGCGGGGAATTGAGTACAAGAGTCAGGATGTCATGTTGCAGCTTTGTAAGACTTTGGTTAGGCCACACTTAAAGCATTGCATTCACTTCCAGTCGCCACATTTTTGGAAGGATGTGGAGACTTTGGAGAGGGTGCAGAAGAGGTTTACCAGGAAGCTGCCTGGATTTGAGGGGATGAGCTATAAGGAGGAGCTAGAAAAAACTCAGGTTGTTTTCTCTGGAGCGACGGAGTAAGAGGGGAGACTTGATAGAAATCTATGAAATTGAGATGCTTCAATAGGGTTAACGGTCACAATGGGTTTTTTTTCCCCCCAAGAGTTGAAATGTCTAAAACTAGGGAGCATGCACTTAAGGTGAGAGGGGAAAGTTCAAGGGAATTGTGAGGGGCCTCTTATGATAGAATCCCATCAGAATAGAAGCAAGCCATATGGCCCATTGAGTCCACACTGAACCGCCAAAAAACATCCCAGACAAATGGGGAGTAGTCCATCACACTTATGCCTTGTAGGTGGTGGACAGGCTTTGGGGAGTCAGGAGGTGAGATAATTGTCGTAGTATTCCTAGCGTCTGACCTGCTTTTGTAGCCGCTGTGTACATGTAACTGGTTCAGCTCAGTTTCTGGTCAACAATAACTCCCAGGATGTTGGTAGTTAGGCGATTCAGTGATGGTCAGAGTCTCTCATTGGAGGTGGTCATTCCTTGCAGAAAACAAATCTGAAGGGCACAAAACTGGGGCACTTTTATAAGCTGAAGGGGAGACAGCATAGAACTAAAAGGATGTTGATAAGTTGATGGGAGTGGGCAGATAGGAGGCAGATGAGACTCGTTGTGGAGAATTGTGAGGTGATACACTTTTGGTACCAAGAGGATAGGGAGGTAATAAAATGAATCGCAGAAAAACTGGGTTTGCAGATGCAGCAGGTAATGAAGAAGGTAAATGGAATATTGTTCTTCATTGTTAGAGGGATGGAGTTTAAAAACAGGGAGGTTATGCTGTAGCTGTACAGGGTGTTGGTGAGGTCAGACCTGGAGTACTGTGTACAGTTTTGGTCTCCTTACTTGAGAAAGGATGGACTGGCACTGAGAGAGGGTGCAAAGGAGGGTCACCAGGTTGATTCCAGAGTTGAGAGAGTTGGTTTATGAGGAGAGATTGAGTAGACTGGGGCTGTACTCGTTGGAATTTAGATGATTGAGGTGGGAATCTTATAGAAACATATAAAATTATGATGGGAATAGATAAGATAGAAGCAGGGAGGTTGTTTTCACTGGTGAGTGAAACTAGAACTAGGGGACATTGCCTCAAAATAAGTGGGGGGGAGCAGATTTAGGACCGAGCTGAGGAGGAACCTCTTCGCCCAAAGGGTTGTGAATCTGTGGAATTCCCTGCCCAGTGATGCAGATGAGGCTTCCGCATTGAACGTTTTTAAGGCAGAGATAGATTTTTGAACAGGGAAAGGATTAAGGGTTATGGTGAGCGGGCAGATAAGTGGAGCTGAGTCCCGAAATTATCAGCCACGATCTTATTGAATGGCAGAGCAGGCGCGATGGGAGCAAATGGCCTGCTCCTGCCCCAGTTTCTTATGTTCTAAAGGGTATGCAGGATCGGAGAGACTTGGGTAAATCCGTGCATGAAGGTGCAGAACAGGGCAGAGAGTGTTGCTAAAGAATATCATATTCTAGGTTTTATTAGTAAAGGCTGAGAGAATGCATTTAACCCAGTAATTACATGCCACCTTCGAGTTTTGTCAGCCACTAAGCAACTAACAATCTTCGATGTTGCCTGTCGAGCAGTCTTGGTGTTACGTTTCACAGCAGTGTCAGCTGACTCGGTTGAAACAGAGCATAGCAGCGCAGAAGGAGGCTCCTCGGCCCATCTGCCCCATCCTGTTCCTGCTGCACCAAGCCTAAGCTTTGGCTTTCTGCCGCCTCTTGTTGACGAACAGTAATGGAAGCCAGAGGCGATTAGATGGAGGATCTGAGTGGGGTAT